GATGATGATACATGATGATGCTGGGGATGATGATGAAAATTTTAACTTTGCTCGAAAAGTTGCTCAATTTGCTACAATTTAGGGGTAAATTTGGGGGCCTGTACCGTGTTGAACATGTTTCATATGTTTCCAGAACTACATCCGTCGTCAAGACAACAAGACCAACTACAACCTGGTACACGAAACCCTTCAGTTCCTGGACTGTATATGTGGTAGTACGTCTGGTGGTCTGGGGTTACTGGGCTTGTACATCAACGAGAACAATGTTGAATTGATCATCCAGTGTTTGGAAAGTCTGACAGAATACTGCCAAGGACCCTGCCATGAAAACCAGGTAAGAAGAACCAGCAGTATCGAAGACGCGGGGTTGTTGCGAAGGGGATGGGAAGGGAGGGTTAGATCCTACTTCTACGATACCTGATGCTGAAGTTGGGCTACCTGTGGCAAARAAAGTAAAGGCCCAATTTTTTAAAAACTAAATTGTGCTAGTTCTTTAAAAGTAATCATTCCTCGTAGGATGTGTTGCCAAAGTACGTCTTGTTGATTCTTTTGTATTTCGCAGAATGCTATCGCACTTCACGAGTCCAACGGCATTGACATTGTCATCGCTCTCGTGTTGAACGACATCAACCCGCTTGGTAAACAAAGAATGGATCTTGTTCTGGAGTTGAAGGTCAGTAACCCTTTACACAGGGAGCCCAGTTTAGATAAAATGATAGACGAAGATGAATCAAAAAATCTGGGTTCAGACCGACCTATACAATACAAAAAAGAAACATTCGTATTATTTTGATTTCCTCAGAATACAGCATCCAAGACGTTGCTAGCGGTGATGGAGAGCAGACACGATAGCGAGAACTCTGAGAGAATACTTTACAATATGACACCAAAACAATTGGTAAGAATCACTCTCGACCCCAAAAACCCTGTCATTCTACTGCGCATGCTCGACGAAACCGCCATTTTGTCGAGCATGCGCTGTTAGAGTGACAGGAATATAGCGTCGAGAATGGGTAAGAATTACCGATTGAATGAGTGAACAGTTTACTTGCTCATCTCAAAGACCCGGGCAGCAATAAACCTATTTTTAAATTCAGGTTTTAAGCATTTTATATATTATTTTTTGCCAGAAAACTCTAAATTTGTAAGAAATTTGAAAATGTTCTTTTTCGGAGAACACAATCTCGTACCCAGAGCCTGCGTTTCTTCTGGTCTGTGGCGAAGAACGAGGGCTCTATTTTTTGGCGCATGCGCAATTTTCCGGAAGTGAAATATAATCAATGAAAATCATGCTTTCAAACAGAGTTCTGTTTTGACTTACGATCAAAATAAAAAATCGAAATCGGGAACAAATGTTTTTATTTTTGGCAAGTCTTTGAACGCATGCGCTCTTATTCCGGAAGTCCAAGAAACCTGGTCTCAAAAAATGGATTATGCCATAGCCCTCGTTCTTCGCCGCAGGCCATAAGAAACGCAGGCTCTGAGTACGAGATTGCGGAAAACTGAACAGAGCTTTGCGCCCCGTCCACACGTATCCGCAATTATTTTTTGCGGATACGGGTTGCGTCCACACGTGTCCGGAAATTTTTGTATCCTTATCGGAAAATTTTCAAAAGCGGTCTCCAGAGTGGAAATCTTTGAATACGCTCCCAATGCGGATAGCGTGGACGGTCGTATCCGCAAATTTTCAAATACGCTGACGTAAACACGATTTTGTGCATGCTCAATAAGAAAAACTATCCATCAAAGGGACTAGGCACTAGCATGTACCAGGGCAGATCAAGAACTTTCCAGATACGTGTGGACAGTGAAAATGATTCGAATACGCTGCGTGTGGACGCGAACATTTTCGTATCCGCAAAAAAAATTTGTAGATAGAAAAATTTCCGGATACATGTGGACGGGGCCTAAATAATTTAGCTTTCATTGTTTTCAACCAATGGAATTCCTGTTCGGCAGGAATTTTCGCGCCAAAATGCACGCGTCCGCGAACCCGGGATCTGCCAACGTCATTGGCTCCTGTTGCACAAATAAGAATGAATCTTGTTTGTTTGTTAGGTTGATGTATGTAAACAGGCCTATCACCAGGAAGACATAATAGATGAAGAAGAATCTGACACATCGCCACGTGATGTCGGGCACAACATTTACATCTTGGCTACTCTTGTAAGTACAGAACGAGCAGATATCTCATCTAAATCGTAAGCAATCTAGAGTGTGATCAAATAATTTTCATTGGCCATGTTATTAGCCTTCTACGCAGGGGTTCTAGACACTAAGAACGTCTGCGTAGGAGTCTACCATGTCCTCGGTCAAGTGTGAGTTATCAAATCCGACAACTTTCCGAGGGACAACCGAACACGTTTAAAAAATTTGTTGCTCATCAGTTGATCACATTGTGATATTATAGACAGTAGCGCGTGATCTTTCGCATGCGTATGGCAACTACTGTGCAAATGGTAGGAACAGTAGCRTGTGATCTTTCGCAAGCGTGTGTCAACTACTATGAAAATGGCAGGAAATTTTTTCCCAGTATTTTTTGTCTTTTTTTGTTGTTGTTGTTTTGTTTTGTTTTTTTTGTTTGTTTGTTTGTTTTCTTCTACTGTTTTTTGTTTTCTATTGCTTTAAATAATGATAAAAACTTCTAATTGTAAGGTTTATTGCCCACTTGTATATATACGCTTGTATCCCTACGGTTTCAATAGCTTTTTCTATTCTTCGACAGCTTTCTCAACAAAACAAGGAGCTTGGTTCGCTTCTCAAAGTTGGCACCCAAACAGACTCTGATGTCGAGGAATTCCCGGGAGACAGTGCTTTGGAATATTACGCCAAGAACACGGCTCAGATCGAGGTTAGTTCTTTTTTTTTTCCATCCTTCCGTGACGTTCAAAGGGTTCTTAGGGTTGTACATCCAATTTTCCTCCGGTTAGATGGAAAATTTCGATAAAATTCGGGTTCTCAGCATCGTAGGGAAGACAGGATGGTGTGCCAGTAACACGCTCGTCCGGTCCGGTCCAAGTGAGCTGAGTTGGTTAGTTCTCATTCTGACTTTGATGGTATTTCCAACTTTCTAATTTTTCCTCCCTCCTCCAAAATCAACCCTAACTAATTAAAAGAAGAGATAACTAGCTAAAAACTAGTGTGAGCTGCGTCGGTGTTTCTAATGAAACAGTAATGATAAAAAGGTTAATTACACACCGAGAAAAGWTGWAAAAACGTACTGAGGTTTCGGACGCTAGTCCTACTCCGACGAAGAACTAGCGTCCGAAACGTCAGTAAGTTTTTTCATCTTTTCATGGTGTATAATTTACCTTTTTATCCTAACTAATTCAGACTGGTTAGAGCTGTGCTCCGGGGTCATACATGGACTGTGTAGCAGCTGCCAGAGGCTCCTTCACATGCTTTCCGTTCGACCCCGTTGAGCTGCGCCACTGCTGTACTTACGTTATTCTAACGATTTTCCTTCAAACGTCCATGGAAATTTGCGTAAAAATTCACACTCCTAAATCCTTGTTTYATCCAGCCCTGCCTTGGTGTCAGCGCATTGCGGGACTGGTCATAGGGGTTTAATCACTCATCGTTGAATCATTCGCTCATCGTTGAATCATTCACTAGGTTGTTCGTCAAGATCGGATCATGGAACAAATAGTCTTCCCTGTACCACAAATATGTGAATTCTTGACAGAAGAGAGCAAGACAATGGTATACACTACATGCGAAAGAGATGATCAGAATAGTAAAGTAAGTACATAATACATTACAGTAATTCTCGATACCACGCGCAGAATCGTCGTCGCGACGAAGAAGGTTCCAAGGCGTTACCATAACTTTCTATTAAACATGGAAACACTTTGATTGACGTCCACCAATGTTGCGACATTATAGATTGTCATGTGATTGAGATCGCTTTAAAACAGCACTGCTTTCAAACCCTCTTTGATTTCAGTAATATATAAGTACGAGTTCTGTTAGAACTCGTTTCGTCGTACAAAATCACGGTACCCAATAGACCGTTTTTTCAAGGTTGTGTGCGCATCCAATCTTGACGGGCCACAAAACTAAAAAACGCAAATTGAGTAAAATTGAGATTTAAATTTATATTTAAAGAGGAGAATAATCGATTTTATGAAATCCTATCGTAAAAAAATTCATAGCAGTACATGATAATACTCGTGTTCTGGTATCGTGGCCCGTCAAGTTTCTTAAATTTGGATGCGCACGCAACCTTGAGAAAACGGTCAATTGTCAATCGTCATCTGTTGAACAAAAACTAGATGTGAGGTCACTCGTCGTCCAATTAAGGTGGTGGATTTTGTGGTAGTCTGGTTCGCGTTACTCAGCGGTATCATTGATTGTTAGTGGTGCCGTGTATTGTTCCTTGACCGCTAAGTTTGGACAGGAACCTGTATAATGGGAAGGTCATTTGGTTAGATATACTCGAGAGAAGGTTTAGTGGTGGCTCTGTGCCGTGTTACTCAGGCGTACCATTTATTATTGTTTCTTCTCAGGTGTCAGACTTCTTTGACAGGACAGAAAACTTGTACCAGGAAATGGAATGGCAGAAGAAACTAAGAGGTAATCTTCATGCCTTCATGCTTCATTGGTCCTTCCCTAATGTCTGGACCTCACATTTCATACACACACCTATTACAATAAAGGTTGTTGGAGCTATAGGACGTAGATGATAAATCATTCCAAGACCGAAAGAAATTATAGGCATACGTCTAAACACGGGTAATAGACCGTTTTCTCAAGGTTGCATGCGCCTCCAATTTGACGGGCCACAAAACTGAATAACTCAAATTCATTAAGATTGAGAAGCCAGTTTAATATTTAAATATGARAGTAATCAATTTATTAATTCTTATCGAAAATAATTTCATAGCAATACATGATAATACTCGTGTTCTGGTATCGTGGCCCGTCAAGTTCCTTAAATTTGGATGCGCACGCAACCTTGAGAAAACGGTCTATTGAGGTATTTATTAGTTATTCTGAGGTTGAGGAAAGCACTGGGTCGAGTGTGGATTGCAGTACATTGTGGTACTGTTTGAGGAGACAAAATAGACGTCATCTTGGAAATATGTCCCTTAAAACAGTCAAACAATGCATGGCTTATGATGACTTTGTCGATTAGAAGCAACACTGAATAAAAAGTCAAAACACAAGTTATTCCATTCTTGGACCTTGGAATGACCTATCTCCCATAGCTTATCACCTTTTGTGCAGAGTGCGCGGAGTATTGCCATTACTCTCGCCATGCTAAGCGAGTATTGCTGTTTTTATTTCAGAACATCGGCTTCTCTTCGGACTAAGTAGTCGTTTAAGCCTGTGGCAACAAATATCGATCAACCTCTCTGTGTTAATTAACCTTCTGGTTGGATTTTTCTATCCATTCTCTGATGGTCCGGGAGGTATGTACCAAGAACCACCCCCCACCACCCCAACTTGCCTTTATCATACAAGTATTGGCCGTTCCGGGAGGTGCATACATAAGGGTGTTTGCTTATATCGTTAAAATAAAGTATTACGTTTTGAAACAACATCAGGGCTGATCAAAGTCAGGGCATGCCTAACTCACAGATTGGCCCCTTGAAACAACCTCTAGGCTGATCTATATCAGTACATGGCTAACTCACATATGGAACAAAATCTGGGCTGATCAAAGTCAGGGCACAGCCTAGCTTTTGTTAGGTTTTGCGGAGGGAGGAAAACCGAGAATGAGGGGGGAAAAAACTCGAGTCAAAGGAAAGGTCCAACAGTCTAAAAGCCCCTCAGAGTGAGTAAAGCAGAGAAGAAACCACTGTCATGATCATCGATTCTGTTATATTTTAGAACTGGACCCCCGTCTTTCTGCTCTAGTGTGGCTGGCCATGCTAGTATCTTTTGCTATCATCATTACATTCCCTCGTCCGTCTGGAATCAGAACATTCGTCGGCTCGACTATCATTAGACTCATCTTCTCTCTAGGACTGGAGCCTACACTTTATGTACTAGGACTAGCAAACGTAAGTATATCACGTTAATTAGTTTTGGTCGTTTTAGCGATGAATCAAGTTTCCGTCGCTAAAAGTAGAGGTACTTACTACAACTTCAACTGAACTGAACCATGTGTACTACAGCAACTGAACTGAACTATGAAATTTCGCTTCATRATGTCCTCTTTTTCACAAACTCGTTGCTTCTAGTATCACATTAAAGATGGGTGACAGTGCATACGTGAAACAAATTAGTACTTGTGCGCACCGTCGTCAACGTTGCATCCACATTGTTAAATAAAGAAGGTTTTGATCGTATGTAACAGGATCTTACGCCAGCGCTTACCTTATTTATTAATAAATTTCTTATGAAGGATGAAAAACTTATTATTTACCAAGCATATACTTTGAACTCTTTCAGGTCATAAACAAAGCAATATCCGTGGTTAGTTTCGTCGGTAATCATGGTACATTTCAGTACGGTCTTCATCGCATGATAACAGACAAGGAACTAGTCTTACACCTAACATACTTTGGCTTTGGAATACTTGGACTCACTGTACACGCTTTCTTTTACTCTGTACTCGTAAGTACTGGAATGTATTGGAATGTCTTCCCATAAGAAATAGGAAACGTAGGGTATTGGTATTTTTTGCCTTGGCATTGAAATGACATTGCGTTGTTTCCGTATGATTAGTCCAGARATTTTAGTTTAGAGATTTTATGACTGTGAAACGGTCGGTCACGGTAAGGATAGACGACCACCCTTGCACCAATTACAGTGCGCGAGATCATTGTTCATCCAATCAAAGTGTTCTAGCGTGGCACTGGCACAGCAAAGCATGTCAATACCATCAACTACAAAATCTGCTCTTAAGTTATGATAAAAAATGGCATGATTACAAAACATTCTGTACGTTAGTTTGCTGGTCAAAAATTGATGGCTCGACGGTGTCAAACTGAAAGCAATGTGCTGACTATTGTAATTCTGTACAATATGTTCTGCTTTGCATTCTGTAGTTACTGACAGTTTATGTCTGTGTTATTTTCAGTTATTAGATGTGATATTTCGGGAAGAAACCCTCTTGAATGTTATCCGTAGTGTCACTCGTAATGGTCGGTCTATTATCTTGACTGCCATACTCGCTCTTATCCTGGTCTACATGTTCTCTCTTGTGGCTTTCTTGTTTCTTAAGGATGATTTCTTGGTTGAGACAGACCCTCCTCAACTTCCTCCAGCAATAGGTGATTATTTTCTTGTATTTTTTTCCCTAAAAAAGCGTGCGTTATTATTATGTATCATGTATCATCATCATCACGTATAACCATCATGTAT